TGATGGAAATCGTTGGCAAAATCCTCGTTGAGAGCAACGGCCTGATTTGTGGAATTTCCTTTGATGCCCACTGCACTCATGCCTTTATCAGGCAGTGCATTCATGGAGACTTCACAGACATAGACCGTGAATCTTTGAAGGATGTACCCTTCTTCTCAGAACTGAAGCACCGCCAGATGCCACCCAACAAACTGCCTCGATTGCCGATTGCTGTGTGCCTATACCGTGGAGAGCCGTTCTACGCTCAGCCAGGGCCATGCAGCTTAGCTGGCTATACAATGCGCAGGTCAGTTTGCGTTGAGTTTTTTTTTTAAATGGGTCATTTTGTAGACGGTATGGTTTTTGTGCGATCCCTTTGCTTAGGCCACGCAACCAAAAACTCAAGCGGCCAGCTATGTAGTCATTTGAGAACACTGTGGTATGGCAATGTCTGGACGGATTCGAGTCAACTGATCAGTCATGGATGTCCACCGGTCGCGTTCTCGCGAGCAAATCCAATGTCAGACCGATTGAACAGCATGCTGCTGAATCCTTACTACTTGGTTGATACAGTGGCAGCTTGTCATTGTTTAGATGGCTGTGGGGGTTTCAACAGAGTGGTCAATAGACAAAATTTTCATGTCAACTTGAAAGTAAGTCATTTTGTAGTGGGCCACCGAACACTGAGGAAGGAACGCTTGCGTCCATGAGCGTGCATTGGTCCCTCAAGGGGATGTGTGTCCACAACGTCACAGTCGCCCTTTGCATGGCAGGTCCCTTGCACAAGGATCTCACATTGGCTCAACGGGCCGAGTGCAGCCTGAGCGGCTTCATATGCCTGGATTTGTTCCGCATTCTCAGCGAACGCAAGGCCAACGAGCTTGGTTTGCCACGTGGTGCATGCTTTATGGCCAGGCAGACGGTCGCAACGTTGCAGGCGGCGGCGCTGAACAGCGTTGCCATGGCAGTCAGCAAGTCTCCAACCTTTTCGTGCTGGGAGACAGGTTTTGGAAGAATCTCAGAATTGCCAATAGAACAGAACTTTGGGCATCTTCGCAGACAGTCTAGCTCAGGCAAGCTCACAACAAGGTCTTTCTTCCTTGCGTCTGCGAGACAGGCTCAGAGAACTGGCAAGGCCTTGAACCATTGCAAACCAAAGGTTCCACGGGTTGAGGCGCCACTAACAGATTCGGAGTTGCTTGGCCACTACAAATTGCATTGCGATGAGCATATGCTGGGCTGTTACCCAAATTTGCCAACTTATATTCATTGATATTGGATGATATTGGGGATTATTTGGGTTCCTTCGTTTTGCAAAGGCCCTAGTCATTCCTAGTCATTGTCAATTGGTTGTACAGTTTTATGTACTATATCATGCAATATGTAGCGTCACAAAACATACAAGACATACATATCATTTTGTAGTAAAAATTACATTTGGGAAATCCTTTTCCATTCATCTGTCCTTGAGGTTTGCCACTTGCTGCGAGAACGCTCTTCTTGCAAGCTTGAAGCTTGCCTCGGTGTGCAGTGGCGTCGCAGAAGAGAAACTGAAACACATGTACGAGGAAGCCTGCAAGGATGAAGACTTCTTTGCTCCTGCTGCGCCTGAAGAAGATGAGATGGAGGAAGATGGTGCAGAGGAGGGTGGGCAGCCCGAGAAGCCTGGTGTAGCAGAAGATCCGGAGTGCTTGCAATTCCTGAAAGTCTTGCAAGATGAGCAGCGCCTTTTGCAGGGAACAGCTGAGGGGGATCATCCTGTTGATCCCACAGTTTCCCAAAAGGATGAGGTTGTATCCAGGGACTTGGGTGAGCTTCCTGACCTTGACCAAGTCCAAGAGTTGCTGACAAAGCCGAATGTCATGGAGCCATTTCACTTGGAGTCGTCCAAATCTCCCAAGAATGCAGCGAAAGAAAACAAGATGCCGTCAACCTTGTTGGAAGCTTTTGAGATGCAAGGCCGCCAAGACATTTTCAACTTGCTATTTCGCTTAGCGGTGAGGCTTCGGTCAGCTCGTGGAGGAATTGACACCGGGTTCATCAAGAATGCGAGGAGCTCCCGCAAAGCGTCGCGGGGGCTAAATTGGCATCAGTTGCGAGGCTGAGCTTCAGTACGTTTCAGTCTCTCTTTTTGCAATATGTTGCAAACATACTTCATGTAGTGCTGATTCATTTTGTCTTTATCATTTTGTAGTGATCTCCCTTTTGCTAGGCATAACGAGAGACGCCTGGCCGAGATTGAAGCGGAAAAGCTCGACCCTGTCTACCACAGCCGAGCAAGCCGCTTGGATGGCTGGAGGGAGCAAGTGCGGTCAGCGCAGAAAGAGCTGCAGGTTGAAGTTTCTCCAGTCGACCGAATCATGAATCCTGGATTTGCTTCAGCGCAACCTGCGATCGATTAAAATTTTGCATTATAAATTTAATGCGTGATATAAAGACACATGGTTTAGTTTTTTTTAATATTTTTCAATTCTTTTTCATTTTGTAGCATCGTTCTTTTTTGCGTTAATTTTGACTAGAGGTGAGTTTGCTATAAAATAAGCACTTAATGTAGATATGTTTTTCTTACACGGTTCTATTGGTTTGTAGTTGGTCGTAGCTTGAGGCCTGGGAACATTGTCATTTTCCAGACGCCTAGCAAGAAGCCGTCCTTGGAGCTGGGCATGATTTTGTCAGTGTGGAAGGGGACACGGAAGCCTAGATTGTATGCAGGAAAAACTCCGGTTGCTTCCTGCGTCGCATTCAGGGCCATTGAGCTTGAAATCATGGACATGGATCAAGTGCCTCCAGTGGATTGGAAATGCAGCTCTTCATCAAAAGTTTGGACTCTTCGCTTGGAAGGATTGGTGTGCATCTTAGACTGTGTGCGTTGCTCCTCGGATACAAGCAAATCAGAACCGACGACGTTGCAGCTATATACTATATATTACGTTTTAATACTTAAAAATAGCTAAAAATATAGTAATACAGTATAATATAGTATATATAATGTCTGCTGGTCTTGCCCACTTGTCAATCCAACAGCCTGATGCATTTTGTATTCCTTTTCCAGGTGCTGAGCCTTTCGACAACACGGGGTTCTACAAAGTGGTGCTTTCAGAAGAGAGTGCACAAGCTCTATCCCGAGTGGTGAACCTCGAAATGCGGGAGATCGGGCCAACAATGGTTCGCGGAAGGAAGCCCAAGAAGCCGAGTGCGAAGGCTGCTCCAAAAAAGGTCATTTCCGACACCTTCTTCAAGAAGAAGGCTCCCAAGAAGCCTGAAGAGAAGCCGGAGAAGAAGCCGACTTGCCCAGACAACCCTTGCGCGAAGGATTACAAAAGAAGTCAGGCTGGGCATCTGGCAATTCAGACCCAGCTGAAGCGATTGAACTCACTCCATGCTGATGCCTTCCCCAGCTCGGCAGTGTTTGATTCTTCCGGACGCTGCCGTATGGCATTCGATGGAGCGCAGAGCTTTACAGTTGAGGATTTGTTGAAGGTTGCGCCTGATTGTCTGAGCATCATGCAGCTCGATGTGTCAACGATACAAAATGAAATGCCATCAACTTTAATATATGTTAATATGTTATACCTGAGCATTTTGTAGTGAGCATATTGCTCAGGTACCGGAGCTTGCGAGGCCAGATGGCCTACGGGGAAGCTGTGGAGAAATTGTTCCGGACTATCGAAGATCAATTGAATCGCTCTCCGCCATCTCGCTCTGGCTACCTCAGGCTAATCAAGGAGATCGCTGACTTCTTTTTCGCAGAGAAGACTGCGGCTACTACTAGCGCAAAGATATCCTAGTGAGTGGCAGCTGCAGGAAGCAAGGATACTTCAAGAGCCACTGAGAACTTGTATCGATTCTAGTGTGTTCAAGCTTTTTGTATCCTTCTGTGTATATCTGTGTATTCTTTTGACTTTGTGGAAATGGCGTGGCTTATGCGATTCATTTTAGATGCCCCTGCAAATCCGTGTTCACTGCTAGTAATTGCAACTGCCAGGAGCTACAGCACTCCATTGAACCATGTCCTTCATCTTGTAGTGTGAAACATTGACAAGCGATATGCCGCCCTTCTCTTTCTCATTTTGTAGCGAGCACTTTTTTTTGTAGCGAAGCGATCCATAACTGTCCTGGATACTTTTTTTTGTGTTGGAGAAGCTGTAGTCTCTGCCTTGGGTTGTTTTTTTTCGGCCACATAGAATACCTATGTGCAGCAGGTCCTTGTTTGGAGATCGGGGGAAAGCCTGAGCTTTGACCTGCCCGAAGGATCCCAGGGAGTAGAGACAAAGAGATCACAGAGACGCGAATGCCAGAGAAGAGAAAAGATTTGACTTGCTTTTTGTAGTGCGGCCTTGCAATCGACTTGAGGATGGTCGAAGAGTACACTCGTCGAGTCGGAAACGGAGTTCCCGTTTTCCGGAGATCACAGTCCGACAAGTCGAGAAATCCATCGTCAAGGTAGGTCAGGCCAGTCATTATGTAGTAGTTTATTTGCTTGCTCCTCCTGAGATATGCTCATTCAGGCCAGTCATTATATAGTAATTTTCTGTCCATTCTCTTGGGGGGTGGGGGTGGGCCAGGCATTCTATAGTCAAATTCTAGGTTGGTCTATGCATTTTGTAGTGCTGCAACCCATGTCCCACTATAAAATCACAGGCCCAACCTCACCTGTGAAATTTTAACGAGGATTCTATTTCAGTGGAGGATGTTCTGTCAATTCTGATTTGACTTGCTGCAAATCCTGGTGAGGTGACTGGGCTCTTAATGACGACTTGCTTACAGTAAAACTCTTCTAGACCAATTGACCACCAATTTTGTTTTGAGGGTTTCGCGCAAACAAGATAAATTACTGCCCTCGGTTGCCTCAGTTGAGACGTTCTTGCCATCGTTTTTGTGTTTGAGTGGCCTGGAATCCGAGTACAAACATCATTCCTGACGATCCCCCAGAGTTTATCCTTGGCTCACTATTGAGCCAAGCGCAACCAATAGTGCTGAGAAACCTCAGTGGTTTTGCAGGGGACCAGTTTTATCCGCAGGCTGGATGCATCTCGCGCTAGGTGTGGCGGGGAAGTGGGGGTAGTGGGGAGACCGAGGGACGGTCCATGACCCAATGAAGCCAGTGATCCGAAAAGAAGCCAGAAAGCGGGGCAAAGTGAGGTATAGATGGTATAGTGATGGTTCGGTTTTTCAGTGAAGTTTTAGCATTTTTAGTTTCAATCAATCTTTGATCCAAGCAGGCAAACCAGCTTCAAAAGATATCTGAACCTGACCCGCCTAGATCTCATGGCCAAGACAGGGAGTCAGGGTGTGGGCCAGCCACCGTTGGCTCAAGGCGGCGGAGATCTTGAGTCAACGAATCGCCTCATGTGTTTAGATGGCGACTTGGGGAGTTCACTCCAAAGAAGTTCACTGCAATGAAGAAATTCTGGAGTCTCACTTACTTGACACCTAAATAAAACATATTTACATCACAATGACCTTTTTCAAGCAGCGGTGCAGCTTGGAGCGATTTATTTGAACCGCCAGGGTGGAGAAGCCCAGTGAGTTCGGGAGACCCAGGGCGGAAGGAATTTCTGGACACTTTTTTTGTTCATTTCGTACCTGCCTAGTAACAGGTGCCACGCTAGTAGTAACAAGTGCCTTACTACTAGTAACAATAAAGCTAGCAATAACAAGTGCCTCACTAGTAGTAACAATGTTTGCTATTAGAAACAAGTGCCTCGCTAGTAGTAACAAGTGCCTTACTAGTAGTAACAAGTGCCTGCACACGTCGTGAACATGCAGGGCAACATTAACGTCTATCGTAGAAAACTTTGATCCCATCAGCATTGGACAAACGGCAGATTCCGCCACTGGGGTTCCGAATCTTGGTGGATGAAGGCAGTGCTTGATTCTACCCTTGAACTAACGTAAGATCCATGCAGTGTTGCACCATGCGATCACCACAGGGGCTCCGACCCCACTGGCCAGCCCTCCCGATGATCTCGATGTTCTCCTACTTATATACTTTCCTTTTGGGCTCAATTGCAGCCTCTGTTTGTACATCTGTAGTCTGGGAGAAGACACTGTGAACATGGACAATTGTGTGTGAGAATCGACAACAAGGTGGTTTTGGTATGGTTTTGTTGGAATAATATGCTCATAACATCTCATAACAAAATTCCAGAGCTGGTGCAGATGGCCTCTTCTGCAGGCTTCCGCCCTTCACGCCAGAGAGCTGCCCCAGCTCGCCGGAGGCTGGTGCCAACTTTGGGATTCGTTGCAGAATTCTTAGTTCTTCACTACTTTTCCAGGGTCCAGGGTTGGCCATGCGGCGGTCTTTACTTTTGGGTCTCCCCATGTCTTACCCATATTGATAGGCCAAATATGATAAACTATGTGGTTGAAGACTTGAATGTTATTGAAATAGTCCCAGTTTTGGCAGCCCGTTTTCAAGGCAGGCAGCAAGGTAGTGGGTTTGGTTTGTCGTCCCTTCACTCTTTTTTTGTACCAGTAGCTGGAGAAAATTCAGAACCATGCATCCTGAACTTTCTTTGGGTCTTTGGGTTGCCTTTTTCTACCAACTTAGGTCCTTCCCGAGATTTGATTTGCTATAGGTTGGCACTTTGGCTCGGTATCAATCTTGCTTTGGCTGGGCGAAAGCTTGCTTTGTGGTCCTTACAGAGGCTTGAACAAGACAAAGACGCTCAACCCGGATGGAACATACAAGCCATGGAAAGGTTGGGCATAGGTAGCACGCGTTTCTCTTGTCAAACCCTTTGAGGGTCATATGGGCACATGACGACCCACTTGGCGGGCACATGACCGCGGCTGGTGCTTGCCAGACCTCTCAATACCCACGTGGCAACAGTTTTGGGACAATTTGCCCATAAAATGAGGCAAGATTGTGTCATTGACATCCCTCGTGGACATATGTGTGTAGCTCCAACATTTCCAACATTTGGTTGATTGCCAGCTCATAACTTGTGTACCACTTGGAATTGACAAGGCGGCAACCAACCTTTCACCAGAGCCCACCAAATCCCAGGTTCTGAACAACGTGCCACCCGGTCAATGCTTTGATTTTCGCCGCCGCTCCTGCCGCAGCGGAAATCTCTCAAATCTATAGGAACTTATTGCTTCAGGCATATTTTTGCACTGAGCACCCTGGCGGCGTCACTTGGTTGACTTGCTGGGGATGTCAGGCATGTCAGGGGTCCTGCAGGTCACTTGAAATTGCAAAAGCCTCTTGGGAAATTGGTGCACGGTGGTCACGGGGGTATGCGCATCAATTGCCACATTGACCTTCTGTGACATTCTGTGTGGATTGTGTGAGGACCAGAAGAGTCCCTTTTGATTTATGATTTGTATAACGCCTTCCCTGCGTTTCCCAATGCCAGGATCGCCCGGATCGAGACCAACAGGGGATCGCCCAGCTGACCGAAAACTGGCCGAGGTTTTGTGAAGTCATCACCCAAGCACACGGGCGGCCTATCGCACGATGATGGGCAATCATATACAGGATGTTAGTCAATTGGACATGCGTCACCTAGCTGCAGCTTCCGATAGGTGGTGTCTGTGGTGCCTTATTTTGGGCAGGTGGTGCTTTGAAAGACCGGAAGCGTGGATGTGGTCCACAGAAATGCCCTTGACATTACTTTCCCTAGAGCCTCGAAGGTAAAGATGAATGTGTTTAAGTTTTCAAGGTTCCTTTTCTGCTTGCACCAGCAAGAGCCGATCACACCCGAGATGAAACTCTATTGCCTTCTAGGGTGTCTAGAATCACGATTAGAGACACATGGCTGCCAGCCACTCTGCAGGTCCAGGGGTTGTGAGGCAGATTTCTTGGCGGGCTCTGAACATTCCACAGGCTGCGCCGCCAAGAGAATGTACTTATCTATGAAGTCCAACGCTTCCTATCCACCAAGCAACAACCTTATTAGCAATCCAAGCGTGAGCCTTGACCTAGCAGAAGCTTACTTCGACTGCATAGGAGCTTGTCCCTTTATAGGCCAAGTCTGAAGCACTGAGCAAGTGGGTAGCCACAGCACAGCCTCCTTTCCTGAGGCTATGCAGGGAAGCTTGGCAAGCAATTGACGTAATTATATAATTATAATTGACGGCGCAAAATTTGGCAGGCCTTTCCAAGAGTTGTTAGTACTATAATACGCCGAGACGATATACAAGATTAACATCGCTTGCTGTGGACCGACATTGATCTTTGCTGATTGATTATCACTATAGATCCAGCTTTATTATTCGATCTCATATTGGTACGGTAAGCTTGGGGATGGGGGTAACATGGAATCGTGCGCAATGTGTGTGTGTGTAACCCTTGGAATCATAGGGATCCTTTCGGATTGTTTTGAGCTTTTAGCAGGGGGTGCCAGGGACCATGCAAGTCTGGCACTAACAAAGACGCTTGCATTGGTCTGTGATATCAATCCGGGACGCCGGATTGACGTACCTGCACTTTTCCATTTCTTCGAATGGCGAGAGGCTAAGCCGAGAACCTCACCGACATGACTTTCTTGTTGCTGCAGACACGCACGGAACGCCGTCAACTTGTCGCCTCGTCGACTCGCGGCCTTTAACTACAGGAACTCAGACCCCCCCCTTCACCTGATTTTTCAGGATTTGGGCTTCTTAGGCTGGCGTGTGGCACCGCTATCAAGTCAGTACGCATATCCATGAGTGTCTTTGGCTTCGTGCCAACCCGGGATGAGCCCGCAGAGTGCCTCCCGTGGACCCGTCGAACGGGTGTACGTCGTTGTCTCCCCTGCCCGGAGATGTAGATGCCCAGAGCGGGCGAAGGTGGCCTAGGCCGTACGTACGATGATTTTTGTCTCATCTTTGGAATTCCAAGTTGGCTCATGCCTCTACGTGACCGCAGCGGTCGAAGCAGCCAGCCATTTCGGCAAGGCACAAGGTGACCACAGCGGTCAAAGCAAGTTTAAGGTTCATTGGAACCTGTCGAGCACTTAGCGCCCCCTTCTCCCCCTTCCCTCCCCGTTCTTTCTTTGCTTTCTGGGGTTTTCCTCAATGCAATACTCAGGATCTCCCCTCTCTTTCTTGGGTGTGTCCCTGGACGATTGTTCGTAGCTGGGAACACCTTCCTTTCCTCTCCCTTTCTCTCCCTCTCTCTTTCTTTCCTTCTCTCTTTCCTCTCTTCACCCTCTTCCCTGGGTGTCCCTGGATGCTTCGTCATGGCTGGGAGCCCTTCTTTTTGGTGTGTCCCTGGACGCATGTGTCGTAGCTGGGAGCACCTTTGTCTCCTTCTTTCTTTCCCTCTCTTTTCTTCCTCCCCCTGCCCCTTCTTTCCTCGCGCGCGGCGTGCTTTACAAGCAAACTAGGCTTCTGCAACAGGTTTTTCTAATGAGGTTTGGTTTGTCATCGGTTTGTCCCCGCAGACGGTTTTTTCCTCTTTTCTTTCATGTCTTTCTGTCTTCGTGTCTCTTCATCCTCATCCTTTCTTTCTCTTGCGCGCACTTTCGTCCGGACCTTAGCTTGTACACATACACGCACGCGTACTTTACTTACAGCGAGGTTCAGGTGGCCCAGGTTCGTTACAATGAGGTTTGGCTCATCGGTTGTCCCTCTTCACTTGGTTCCTTTTCATCGGCAACCACACACACCTTTGTCTGTCTTGTCCTCCTCCTTTTCATCTGTCCCTTTTGCGTGCACATGTGCCTACCTCCTTTCCGGGCAGGATGGAGGTCACACATGCCTCCCTTCGGGGAGGCGTGTGTGTGTGTGTGTGTGTGTGTGTAACCCTTGGAATCATAGGGATCCTTTCGGATTGTTTTGAGCTTTTAGCAGGGGGTGCCAGGGACCATGCAAGTCTGGCACTAACAAAGACGCTTGCATTGGTCTGTGATATCAATCCGGGACGCCGGATTGACGTACCTGCACTTTTCCATTTCTTCGAATGGCGAGAGGCTAAGCCGAGAACCTCACCGACATGACTTTCTTGTTGCTGCAGACACGCACGGAACGCCGTCAACTTGTCGCCTCGTCGATTCGCGGCCTTTAACTACAGGAACTCAGACCCCCCCTTCACCTGATTTTTCAGGATTTGGGTTTCTTAGGCTGGCGTGTGGCACCGCTATCAAGTCAGTACGCATATCCATGAGTGTGTGTCTCCCTTTGTTCTTGAACTTTCTGCTTCTGGAAGTGTGAGTCTACTCATGTCTACTCTGGAGCGTAGCAACAAGTCATCTGGAAGCAAGTCGGATACACTGTACGGGGCGAGTCTTCCACAGTTTGGAGACCACAACGTCCGTCCGCTGCTCCTGCCCGATGGATGCTGTGAAGCTCTGAGGCTGCCAGGGGCGGATCTCATGAATCAAGGCGAGCGCCGCGAGCGCCGCGAGCACGCGGCACGTCGGGGGTGCGGGGGATCGATGCTGAGTCCCTGGATTTGGGTGTTTGGTCAGACCAGAAGCTACTAGTAGCAAAGGGCAGCGCTACTAGGAACAAGACTGCTACGCGCTACTAGGGGCTTCTGGCCTTACTACTAGGAACAAGAAGCTACTAGTAGCAAAGATGGGACCGGGTGCATGAACATGGTGGTTCACACATCGGCTTGAATTCGCGAGCTATACTTGAATGTTAGAACGAAGGCAGGTGAAAGACCATGTTCTGAATCTGATCGGATGTTATATTTATATGTATATAACATACACATTATTCACACTGTTTGGATGGACAACGTGGCAATGTGCACGTGCGAAGCATAATGCGTTAGATGATGCTAGATATTTAGTAACAAATAGTCAATACGTCATTTTTGGTGATGTATTCTCTTGAGACTGAGATTGGCGTGGAGGGTGTTTTTGGAGGGTGAACGCTGGGGTGTTTGAGAAAAACTCAGCAGATCCCGCACGCTTGACAGAAGCCCATCTGCTTTTGAAGGAGATGTTGAGACCCTTCTGGATTTTGAAGGATTTCTGCTTATACACAGTTCGTCTATTTCAGATGGCTGATTAGGATTCTGTGAGAGGGCCGCCAGGGCATTTGAAGATCTCTCCCAGTGAGACTGGGAGCACTTTGCTATGTTGAACGCATTAGTTTTGATTCGTTCTGTTGTGAAGATTCGATGGCTCCAACACTTCTCACTTCTCTGCCCCAGGATACGGATATGGCGCCGGAATGCACATGAGGAGCTATGATATCCCAATTTCAATGGCCTTGGAGGCAGGAACGGAGAGGAAGGGAGGGGCAGACAAAGGACGAGAGGGGGGTTGGACATGCAAAT